TTTTTAGTGTTTTTATTGTTGATTTGTTTTATTGTTTTTGGCCAGTACAGCACTTTGTGTCAACAGCCGCTGTTTTAAAGCGCTTTATAAATAAAGTTGATTTGATTTGATTCTCCTTGAATAAAGACAGCCACCATCAGTGATTAGTGTGAAGCCTTGGACTTGATAAATGTGCTACGAATTCAGGAGGCGACAGCTCTGAGCCAGCATGTATATTTTATAAATATAAATAATTAGAGGACCAGCTTTAATAAGCTGAAGAGTTTCAATAAAAATATAAACTGTAAAAACTAAAGCAGACCTATCAGAAGGTGATTGTCCTGTATGGTTTATGGACAGCAACATAACAAAACCTATCTGTTCTAGCTTTTAGTTTTTTAATTTTTTTTGAGGCCCCCCTGTGTTCACCTGAAGTGATTTGTGTTTGAGTTCAGAAACACTTGAAGCCATTTCACCTCAGAATTCTGCACGTCGTTGACCTGACCTCAACATTATCTCTGAAACGTGCGAGGCCGATCAGCTGTGGAAAAAAAAAAGAAGCAACAAACAAAAACTCTGAAAACATCTCAAGCCGTGGTTTGGTGTCTCGGGCAATGATGTGAGCCACAACACCAGGCCGTTTCTGAGCAGGCTAATTTTGAATGTGTGGGAGTTCAAAGTGGAAAACAAACAGGGGGTCTTCATCAGGACAGTGACCCAGATCTGCCTGCACAGACCCTTCAGCTGATCTTTGACCTGCAGAGTCTTTGCTCCTGATTATTCTGAGGTGTTGGGCCTCAGAGTGAAGGGGGGGGGGGGTCCACTGTTGTAAGTTTAGTAATGCTGCCTCCTAATGCATGTCTGTAATATTTTGTCTGATTCAGGTCAGCTGTCTCTCAGCCAAGTGACACACTTTCTGCAGCCGCAAACAGTTGTGTAATTATACAATGTATCTGCTGCCCTCTAGTGGCAGAACCACAGCATCGCTTCTTGCAGTGGAGTCAGGTTCTTTCATTCAACTTGTTCTCTTTTTTTCTGTCTGAATGGAGCTGATCCGTTGGTCCGGCTCAAAAGCCTCTTGGGGCTGCTTGTGAAATGTGTCTGACCTGAAATAATCGGCTTGAGAGATCATTAGGCTCAAACTCTTGAATGTAGAGGTGCAGCCATTTTGGTCAAACTCTGTAAACATGTGATGAGATATGGATCTTATGAGATCTGTTAGCCCTCAGAGTGTGTTGAGGATGATGCATATTATTGATAAATGTGAAATTGACTGAGTTATAGCCATTTTGTGTTAAAAGTTTATCAGCAAATTCATTTCTGAAAGTTTTAATAAAATCTGTGCACTGGCTCATGAGATATTTTGCTAACAGAGAAACAGAGTCGACTAAAACAGAAAGTTTTGAGCAAAGATGTCAAGCAATGGGTTTTTAGAGGCTGTGTTGGGAATGACTCTCAGCTACTACCACAGTCAGTTTGAGCACAATATTTGTCAAATTGATTGAATTATAGCTACGGTACAGACTAAAAGTTTGGACACACCTTCTCATTCAAAGAGTTTTCTTTATTTTCATGACAATGAAAATAGTTGATACACACTGAAGGCATCAAAACTATGAATTAACAAATGTGGAATTATATACTTAACAAAAAAAGCGAGAAACAACTGATAATAAGTCTCATCAAGAGAATGCCAAGACTGTGTGATGCAGTAATCAAAGCAAAAGGTGGCCACTTTGAAGAACCTAGAATATAAGACATATGATGCCTTCAGTGAATCTACAATTTTCATAGTCATGAAAATAAAGAAAACTC